GTGTTGGCCTTCGTTCAGTTGGCCTTGCTGGTGTCGCTAAATGATAGCAGGTAATGACAATACGGTGGCATTTCTTCATGCCATGCGAGGTTATATGCAATGAGGTAAAATGCATAAACCGCCACACCAGCGCATTATGCCTTTTCACCGTATCACAGCCATTTGGTTATTCGCCACCATTCGTATAAATATTATCATTATTCTTCTTGCTATTAATACACCTTTCATCTCATCGCTCAGGTAATTTAGTCTTTCCCAAACACATGTAATAAACTCGCTAGATTTCACTCTAATTTAAAAAGTTTTCCAGTGTTTATTTTTCTTATACCGGTTTAAAAATGTTTAACAAAATAATGTTTTCATTATTATTTCCTGTATTTGTAGTCGTGCTAAAGATGATATTAAACATCATTTTAATATCGTGATTTACAATCATCTATACGGACCATTGTGAATCAAATGTCTCTATTATGGCGGCGTATTCATCAATATTATTTGTGTACGCAGCTGCAATTATTAGTATCTAATGATATTATAAGCCGCATGACTAGTATACTGTGGTTTAAATATTTTTAAATTTATTTATAATATGTTCAAACTCTGGTTAAATAGGTAAGAATAACCATAGCACAGCATGCGGCGGGGTGGCCTAGTGGTAGATCAAACCTCACGGGGGTAGATAAGTCCGGGTTCGATACCCAATCAGTTATTTTGCAGTTTTTCCACGACAACGGAAATAATTTGATAAAATATGATAAGTGATAACAAATGATAACTGATTAGAATAACAGTGGTATACGTATGTCACACACGTACGCGATCGGATTTCGTGGTGGGGGCAAAACCGGTGGCGGGATGAGTGGTGGGATGAGCGGTGGCGGGTCAGGTAATATACATCACGTACGAAGCGGATCGGGCGGCGATGGAATGAGGATGAGTGATGAGGGGGTGAGGGTGAGGAATGAGGTTCTTGAACTCTCTTTTTTATACTACTGATAATGAACGAGATGACGCGAATAACGAACCAAGTTCTAATACTACGTTAAACGTGCAAAATAATGGCCAGCAGAACGAACTTAATCAATGTGAAAATCGTTCAGATATTTTTAACAGTGTAGCTGGTTCGTCGTATATTAAGCTTCATACTTCTATTACAAAAAGGGAGGCAACGATTAATCCGCAGAACACTGATCAACAATGTTTTAAATGGGCCATTCTGGCTAAGCACGTGACAGGGCCAAATAAACATCGAGTAGGAGATAATTGAAGGGTCGGCGGGAATAACGTGCTATGAGTCTATCTCAATATATTTATAGAACCAGAAAATTCCCAGAATATTCTTATCGTACATAATCATTGTGTATAAACTTAGAAACCGGCGATTTGTTGATTTTGTTGATAGTTAAAACGTGCTATGTATCATTCACAGTCATTTGACACGCCACGCGACGTATTGACATTCGCGATCGTATATATACGTATTTTCTCTTATGATGGCAAGTACGAATAAAATTAATTTATCGAATAGTGATGTTAACCGTCTAGTTAGTGGACGAAAACGTACAATCAATATGGATAACTGGAAAAATGTAAAAAACAAAAATCTACGTAATAGTGGACGTGAGTATACATCACGGAGTAAAAAGATTGTACCAGCTAAAACACCTCCAAACATGGTTAGTAAGAATATTTCTATGTGATATCGTTCAATATACATAATGTTAAAAATATTTTTTGAAAAAAAACCGTCTTTTTTTAAATTTTAGCAACAAGTTTGTGACAAGAATAAATGTCCTTGGCAGCAATGTGCAATATTGACTTTAGCAAGAAAAATTGAATTATTTAACGAATTTTATAATTTAACATATGATGAACAATCAGCTCTTTTGATTTCGTTTATAAAAGTGAACAATCCTAAAAGAAGACGACAAGGAAAGACAGATGCTACATCTCGACGATTTTGTTCTTTTAAATATTATATAGATGATTCTCAGGTATGTAAGGATACTTTTTTAAATACATTTAATATAACAAGAAGACGTGTTATGACATTACAAGACAAAATGAAATCAGGTATTTTAATACCTAAGGATGGCCGTGGAAAACATAGTAATAGACCTCATGCAATTGACGCACCTGTAAAAGATTTAATTAGACAACACATAAATAGTTTACCCCGTCAACCATCACATTACAGCCGCCTCACAACAGATAACTTGCAATGTTTAAGTCCAGACTTAAATTTATGTAAACTCTATCGATCTTTTAAAAATAAATATCCTAATATAAATACCAGTCAACGTATCTATAACAATGTATTTCAATCGGAATTTAAATTACGTTTCGGCTATCCACGTTCAGATACATGCAAACAGTGTGATTTTTTTTATAATAAATTAATAGCAGCTGATACAGAGGAAGAAAGAAAAAAAATAGAAATTGATAGTATGTTGCATCATTCTAGAGCCGAGCAATCGTATGATGCCCTTAAAAAAGATACAGAGTTCGCTAGACTAAATAGCTCTACTGTAGTACTTTGTGTTGATCTACAACAAGTATTATTTTGTCCAACTCTTACACATTCTAATATGTTTTATCAGAGACAACTTTCCAATTATAATTTTGCGATTCATAATATGGGAAATAATGCAGTTTCAATGCATTTGTGGTATGAATGTATCGCTAAAAGAGGCTCATTAGAAATAGCTTCGTGTATTTTAAATTTTATCGAGTCTAATTTTAATATTCTTGAACATGGTGAAGAGAGGAAGTTGATAATATGGTCTGATAGATGCGTTGGTCAAAATAATAACTGGCGAATATTAAACATGTATTCCTATCTAGTCTCTTGTAAGTATTTTACAGAAATTCATCAAAAATTTCTTTCGACTGGCCATAGCTTTTTACCATGTGACCGTGATTTCGCTTTAATTGAAAAACAAAAAAAAACAGCAAAAGTGCTTGTACCGTCACAATGGAAATACGTTATCGCTAATGCAAGGTTAGAAAAACCATTTACTATTGTTGAAATGTCTCAAATTGATTTTAAAGACTTTTCCTCGCTAGAAAAAGATATGACAAAAAAAAAACTAAAAATAACTCAAGCAATGTGGTTAAAATTGTCAGCTGATGCTCCTATGCATGTAAGTATTCGTGAAAGTCATAATACTCTAAGACCATGGAAATCACATGAAATACGTCATAACAACTTTGGAGAGAATATTTTATCTATTAAAGACTTACCACCAGCATATCAATGTCCATTGGCCTTGACAAAAGAAAAGAAAAAAGATCTTTTAGATATGTGCAAGTATATTCCTCAAAAATATAGTGACTTTTTTAAATCATTGCCAGGATAATGTAAATTATTATTAAATTTAATATTCTTATTTTATTTATAAAGACTAGATAATAAAAACATGTGCAAATATAAGATTTAAATTTTTTAAATATGTACAAAAATGATTTAATTTAATATTGTAATTTTATTTATAAGGACTAGATAATAAAAACATGTCCAAATATAAGATTTTAATTATTTAAATATGTACAAAAATGATTTAATTAAATATTGTAATTTTATTTATAAGGACTAGATAATAAAAACATGTGCAAATATAATATTTTAATTTTTTTAAACATGTACAAAAATGATTATGTTTAAAGTTTGAAGAACGTGCTACGTGCAGTCCAAATAATATTTAAATGAAATAATATAAGTTATTTTGTTTTTACTTGATACTGAACAATTTTCAAATTGTTACATAGCACGTTATTCCCGCCGACCCTTCAATTATTACCGACATGAGAATAAATATAATTTTACAGGATTATCATACCCAACACCATGGAGTGAAGTTAAAATATTCGAAAAAAATAATCCTACAGTCTCTATAAATATTTACGGAAACAAAAAAATATCTCAGCCATCTTCTAAGTGTCCGAGTCATCACATTTTTCCATTAAAAGTCGTAGAAAATGAAAAAGCCGATCATTACGATTTAATTTTATACACCGAAGGTGAAAAAAGCCACTATGTATTGTATATATATCGAATTTTTCACGATTAATTCGTTCGCAAATAACTAAACACGACCATTCAAAATATTTTTGTAAACGATGCTTCACATAATTTGACGATCAGTCATTAAAATATAAATTAAGCGGGCGGCCAGCACTTGAACAGCATAAATTAATTTGTGGAGCACATAAGCCGATTCTACCCAAATGCCCGATGTTGGCGCAACACTTGAATTTGAAAACTGACAACATGCTCAACGACATCCGTTTACTATTTATGCTGATTTTGAAGCAATGCTAGTGAAGACTAATGAGGTGAGGAGTAAACATACGTCTGTAGTACATAACCACAAACCTATGAGTTATGGGTTTTTAGTCAAGGCGTCCAAAGACGTTCCGTTAGAGCTCATTGAGCGATTTAATATACCAGCCGCACCGGTAATTTATCGCGGAAGTAATATTCGAGAGGATGTTGCCAGACATTTTCTTGAAAATATCGTTGACGTAGGACATAAAATCGAGGAATTGTTAAAGACAAATATCCCTTTAGTTATGAGTGATGAAGATACGCGAAAATATATTACTAATAAAAATTGTAATTTTTGTAAACGTAGTTTTGACACGATTGAGAAAGTTCGCGATCATTGTCACCTGACTGGAAGATTTAGACAATCTTTATGTTCTCAATGTAATTTAAAATTAAAACAGCCCAAATTTGTACCATGTTTTTTTTTATCATGTTATTGATATGTGCACCGTTAATGCATGGCTATTGTATCGCAAACATTGCAAGCAAATTAATATAAAAAAACATTAAGCTTACTTCAATTTAAAACTGATTTAACTCACGCATTACTTTTATCTGGTAATAAAACACCAATAAGAGGGAGACCGTCTCTTAATTCAACAATTTCACCATCTACCAAGAAGAAAATGGTGTTTTCTGCTAGACCTGTTGATGATGTTAGGTATGACAAAATAGATCATTGGCAAATACCTATAGTTATTAAACAAAGGTGCAAACTGTGTATCAAAAATTATACTACCACCAAGTGCAATAAATGTAATGTATATTTGTGCTACACCAAAAATCGTATGTGTTATATGGAATTTCATAAGAAATAAGCATACTGTGATGAAAATATTGTGATCATTTTAAAATGTATGGACTAAGAAAATAAAAAAATATGTATAATAATGTTAGCACCAAAAAAGTTCCAAAAAATGTAATTGTTTTGATTATTATTTTATTTTAAAGACTATTCCTTCAGTTAATTATTAGTTTTATTTTTAAATATATTTGGACGTGTTATGTTATATTTATGTCTTTTATATAATTTTAAGATATAAGTTTATTTAATGAAGATGTGTAATAAAGATGTAGTAAGCATGTTATGTTAAAAAATTGTATTTGTTTTATACCATTTATAAAGAAATTAATTTGTGATATTATCTATGAAGGCTCTAAAGAAAGTTCCTGCAATTAATTATTTTATACCTATTTAAATATATTTTAGGCTTGAACTGTTATCTATTTTGTATAATATTAAAATAAATTTACTTTATGTTATATTTTGTTTAAATAATAAAGAATTTAAGTGAAAGTTGCAAAACATTAAATACATTTTCTAAAGTCATTATTGTATCCTTAAATTCCCAATGATAACTTTCGGCATCATGTTTTTCCTAGCTAGAAAAATTCATCAAAAATTTTGAAAAAATATTTTTCTCTTAATTTAAATGTAATTAAAAATAATTAAGCAAAAATAAAATTTTTTGTTTTAAAATTCTACTATTGGGCCTGAAAGGGTTAAAAAAGCTTTTTTTTTTGGCAAAAATTACCACTTAGTTAATAATACAACGTGGTTTAATGTAATTAACAGGAAATTTTATAATATAAAATTAAAACGGTTAATAGAGAAAATTGCATTTTATTCAAGTTATGATTTTGAAGTTATAATGCGCGAGTTGTATGATGAAGTCTACAAAATTGAATGTGATAGTGGGCATGCTTTCTGGAAGGAAAAAATTTTAAGTAAATGTATAACTAGTAAAAAGAAAGCAGTTAGTAAAAATTATTAGAATAATTTAATTTTTTCTAATATTAGAGTTAGAATGTTATAAAATAGAATTAAATTATATAAGTAATAAATACGATTTATATATTACAATAGAAACTAGAGTTAAGAAAAATATATTTTAGATTCCTAGATATCGTTTATAAATAATAGTAAAATATATATTATATCGAAAATGATCGTATGCCTTTTTTGGGTCAAGTAAATGTGAAACTTGGTAGTTTTTAGTTAAATTTTATTATAGAAGGAATTCGGATTTTAATATAATTGTAAATAATAATAGTTTGAGTTTATGAATATGTCAAA